TATACTTACCCATACCTGGAAATTTGTGCGGATTTGCTTTTTGCACCTCCAGAACTACAGAATGAGTTAGTGAATTCTTGTCATATGTTCTAGTCCTCAGAGTTTCTCTGGAATTGTTAGTCATAGTTTTATTTATGTATAAAGATTTTCTTCCTTCCTGTTACTCATGTGTAGATCTTCAGCTTGTCCTTCTAATTTTTATATTGTTTGTCTGTTTCACAGTTCTAGCTTATTTAAGGTTTCTCACTGTGTTTCCTTTGGAGGGATATAGCACTCTATTGTCATGTCAGGTGTGTTTTTGGTTCCTTTTGAAAGTAAATTAAATTAATCGTCAAAAAATGGACTTGTGTAATAAAATGATATTCTTTTTTACATGGATGTTATTGGACAGCATTCATTGTGCACTGAAGCCAAAGGTCATGTTTCAATGCCAGGAGCTATAAATCTAAAAATTTAGTTCATCTGTTGTGAGCTAAGCTTTTGTAATGATCTCTGTTGAATGTTTTATGAACACTTGGTCATTGCTTCTGAATGGCTGAAGGTCTAACCAGAAAAAATTGTAAGGGGGTAAAAACTCTTCAGCATAATTATTTCTTTTAAATCCAAAATATGTATGAAAACTTTTTGTATTTGCAATATTTATTTTCTGTAGGACAGTTTCTTTGAGGCATTTGCACTGTGTATTGATGCTTATTTAAAAAAAGATAAAGTGAACATTATGAACTGAAGTTTTTTCTCAGTTCATCTTAGTTGGCTGTCCCATCCAGATTTTATTCTTCCATTCTAGGTGATTATTAGGCCACAAGTATCTAATAGAAATTGAAATACTAGAGTCTAGAATGATTTAAAAAGCATACTAACCTTTTCTTTGTAAATGTAAAACGTTCATAACTGAATTTTTTAAGCCTCCCAGTACTGTTTATGGCATGACATATTTTATACACAGTTTCTTTTAGCATAAAACAGTTTTGTCAACAGCTGATGGCAGTAGAATTATAATTAGATCTATTTATGAAATTCATTATACAGATAAAGGAAACTGGATGTTTTCCTCAGTGCTAATTGACATGTAGAACAACTGTGTACTCTGCCTCTGAGCACACATGTTGTAGCATATTACTACTTTAAAAAATAAATTACGATATGGAAATAATACTGTAACTATGTTCCTTCTATTAAATATAGGTCCAAGGCTCTGTTTTAAAGTTGAGTGAATATGATAATTTGATTTATTTTGCAATTAGTTGAGGTGTTCTGCTGAGGAATAATGTATAGCAAAGGAATTTAGACCTTGAAACAGATGGTAAAATGGGATCATTTAGCTGTTAATGGGGTTTCTGAAAGGGATACAGTATTTTTAATCTTTAGTTATGTGCTTGTGATAACTTCAGTGTAAATTTTCAGTTTAGTTTAACTGTTGAATGTGGTTTGTTGGAGTTCATGGGTCAGAAGCCTGTACTGATGGTACATGACATAATTTCACAAGTGCCGATTTTTGGTAAGCTGAAAGCAGATATGGGATGTATTTTAAACACATGCCACATACAAGTTGGAGGTTTAAGCTCTTGAACTATAACATATGGAGGTAATTTTGGATTATTTAACCTAGGGCATGCTTGAGCAGGAATGGCCAAACACAGAATAAACCCAAGAAATAATGCAGCACTTTTCCCTCCGCTGCCACCTTGCCCCTCTCTCCTGATTCCCCTGGACAACGTGTCTCCCAGTGGAACAGCATGCAAAACTTGATGCTTTGACGTCCAATTGCCTTTTCCTTTCCTCTTTCATCCAGTGACCTTTTCCCCTCCAAACCCTCTTCAGTCACCTTCCATTATTTCCCCATGTTCATTGTGCCTCTCCCTCTCCAGAAAGATCTTATAGTGTGTATGTTTTACTCTGAAGATGACCAGGGTGGCACTGTAGCCTACTGTATTTAGAAACGAGTGTGTATGATACTTCTGTATGATATTTTGAAATTAACTGAGGGGTTCTGCTCAGGAATAATGTATGTAGAGGAGGAATTTAGACCTCAAGGCAGATGCAAAAATGGGATTGTGTGCCATCCCTTCACATTGGTGTGCAGGTGTCAGATGTGCATTTGGGGATATCTGACTTCTGGGATGTTATTCTGATTGATAGATTATTTTTTTCCCTCTTCAAATGATCTAAATTTAATGTAGAAATAAATAGTGTGATTTTTAGTTTTGTTTTGAGGAAATAAAATTAATCTCCTCATGAAACATGACTTTTGATTGTTTGATGAAGACAAAACCTGTTATGTCTTTCTAAAGTTTTAAGAGAGACTTGAGAATGTTATCTCCCCAAAACAATTCTGCAGAAATTTTGAAAGTGAATTGTTTCATTCATACCAAAATGAAAAATACTTCTCTGGTGACAGCTCTGAAAATGTGTTTTGTCTCTGTTGTACAGAGTAACTTAGATAAACTGTAGTGTAAGAAAACTGTTCCTTCCACATAAAAAAATTAGGTCAACTGTCAGATTGTTTTCAATTAAATGACAGATATAATATCCTTTTAAAGTGATATTTGTTAATCCATGTTTGAAGTGGAACTGACAGCAGTGAGGTAGCAAGTGTCTCGAGAGCCATATAAGGGTACAAACAGAAATCTGCCTCAGCTTCATGATAATTTGTTACCTAGGGAGTTCTTGAGTCAGAAGTGCTGCTGTAGTTCTTAGTACCTTTTCAGGATTGTTCTTTTTTTTTTTTCTTGCATACATTTGTCCATTCACTATTGAACCACAGTAAGTTTTTCGTGCTTATGATAACTTTTACCAAGATTGCATAGGTTAGCTACATCTACATGCTAGTTGAAGAAGAATGTCTTTGTTTTTAACAGACTGCGTTTTATTTCCATGTAATGCCATATGGTTTTTCCATGGAAAGAGGCTGTGTAGCCTCTTAACTGTGTGTCTCCTCTCACATATTGCTTCTCAGACTCCTAGTGCTTCAGGAGTCCTCATTTTAGTCATTCTTTCTGGATTCCTTGTTTCTTGTGTTTTTTGTGCTTGATACCCTTCTCTAAACCTTTTGCATGTCACATATCCTTGAGATCAACAAACTGCATACTTTTAGTTGGATTTAATCTGTGGTGTAATGATACTCCTTTGCTAAATAACATTGTATGCAGCAGCAGCTGAACACTTAGTTAACATTTCCATCACTCTTTCTGTACTCGCCCCAAGATCTCATTTCTGTGTGCATTCAGTAATCTTACAACAGATTACTAAGCTTGAATAGGTTTTTTCCCCATATGCAACTCCCTAAATATTCGCACTATAATTTACCATTTTGAGTTTTAATCAGTAGCTCTCAAGGTTTCTTCTTGAGTTTTTCACATTTGGTTCCCATATTTGCTACCTTCAGACAGCATTTTCATCATCATCTTTATCTATCAGAGCTCAACTGATATTCTTGAGGCACTCCATTGAGTGTCTGTTTCATCCTCTGAAAACTATTTGTAATATTTCAGCTAAAACTTTCTCAAGTCCCTTTGAAGTTCCAAAGCTAAGAACAACCCAGTCCTCATAGTGTCTTACTGTTTCATTTATTCTCTAACCTCTTCTTTTGACGCCTCAGAACAAGGAGATTCATTGACTCTTTCATAAAGTAATGTTTCAGCCTAGAAACCTCTGAAGGTCTTCATAGTGAGCAAAGAATTAAAAAAAAGATATTTTCGTCCTATCAACTTCTTTTACATAGTGACTGTAGTTTACTTTTTCTGACAAGCTGCTGACTCCAATGTATATGAAAGAACATTTGTTACTGTTTTACAAGTTTTTCACTCAACTTCTTTTTAGTGTGCCTTCAATGTGTGTCTGTATTTTGATTTATTGGAGTTCATAGTCCTTTGTGTATTCCTCAGACAGCTCTTGAAGGTCTGCTTTCAAACCTCTGTTTGGTCACTTAGCTTCCATTTTCTTTTTTTCTAAACTGCTTTGTGATAAGAAGTAGATGTGTTTTTTATTACATAAATTGTTTTAAGTTTATAAGAAATGTAGTGGTCTTAATGAGATTGGTTTAGTTAGTATATATTTATCTGTGCAGCTGGTTGTGACTCTGTACTTGATATTTTCAGATACAGGATTAATTTAAAATTATTTTAGTTCCTGAAAAAGTAATGAGTTACTTCATAAATAATATCAAGAAGACAGCAAGAATGTCAGTAAAAACTTATGTGTCCCTTCTGGTTACAGGTGGGATAGAGTTACTTTTGTTCACAGTAGCTAACATGGGGCTGTGTTTTGCATTTGTGCTGGAAACAGTGCTGATATTATATCCCACGTAGCTTCGCAGTTACTGTGGCAAAGAATGGAGTAGGTGACCTCTTGAAGTATCTGCAGTTCAACACTAAACTGGTCTTGTCAGCATGAACTTGATAACTGCTGATCTCTAATAGTGTAGAGCTGAGATTAGAGCCAATTTCCTGGTCAGGATATCGCTGTGATAAGGAAATGTTAAGTTGTTGGAGAAAAGCTGCTCATTGCATCATTTCTTTGTTAGATCATATGTAGGAATAAGAATGTTTGCTCACAATAAACAATAGATTTTTAATGAATCATGAATCTGACATAGTAGGAGATCTCTTTCGTTATTAAAAATATTTATTTGCTCTGAGGCAAATAAAAGAACAGCTTGGAGATAGTCATGTGTATGAGAGTCTTTCTTTATTCTTCATAGTTTTATTATTTTTATATTTGTATAGATAGTGGTTTTCATATACTATTATATAAAGAATTCTCACATTTTTGTTCAAGGAAAGTAACTTTTTTTCTAACTTAATTTAATAATTAGGAAATTTAGACATTTGATCTTACTAATTATCTAAAAACGGTCAGATTTTGCCTTCTTAAGAGAAGTACCTTAAAAAAATTACCGTAGAAAAAGCTGCAAACGTGTCATAAATTTACTAGATGGATGTCATCTAAAGGTCTGTATACTTTTAAATCACCACATGTATTCTTGTTTTGTTTTCTCTTAGGAAAGGAGACTGAGAAAGCCAAAGATCGGTGTGAAAAAGCCACTATGAAGCTTCATATGTTGCATAATCAGTATGTGTTGGCACTGAAAGGAGCACAATTACATCAGCACCAGTATTATGATACTACACTTCCTCTGTTACTTGATTCACTACAGAAGATGCAAGAAGAAATGATTAAAGCCCTGTAAGATGTATTCTTATATATTTTTAACTTGTACAATTCTATATGTGTAGTATTCTAATTAATTTGTAGGATTACTTGAAAATAAGAAGCTGTGGTTGTAGTTTACCCTGGAGTAAAAACATGTGAAAAATATTTTTGTCACTACATTGACATTTACGTGTATAAAAGAGTTGCTGATTTCAGGTGTAGAGCTTGATGTGGCCTTCTGTGTGAAACATACTTGCTTAATAATCCTAATTTTGCAGGTGAATTAGTTTGTTAAACTTGAAAAAGTATAGATTAATATTGCTAATTATTTTTTCCCTTTTTTTTTTGTTGTCATTGTAATTGATAAAGATTCTCTTTCTCTTCAATATGGCACCACTTTAGCTGATATTTGATTATCTTTTTATCACACTCCATGAACTATTTTCTGGAACATTTTCACATGTGATGTTCACAGGCAAGGTGAGATTTAATGCCTTCCCTTGTCTGTTTTCTCCTCAAAAAAAAGTATTGAAAAAATCCTATCACAGAATTTTTTTAGCAGAGAAAACGTAGCTTGAGATCTTGTTCAGGAAAAATGTATTGATACTTTTTTCTCTACATGTTCCTCTGGGCTAGCCAAAATTCATCAGTGTTTCTTGAGAGCTCACTGTGCTCCAGATTCTGGCAAGCTATCAAATTTGTCAGAGATAAAAGTGAAGTAGGGAATAATTATGAAGGTACATTATGAAGGAAAGCTAATCATTACTGTAGGTTATATTATAACAAGCATGGTAAGTCCTCTGTGAAGAAGGCTGTCATCAGTGAGCTCTATATGTTCCTTTTCCTTGTAATTTCTACAGTTTCTGGTTTAGCTATGCACTGAAATCAGTACAAGAAGCATGGTCTTAGAGCCAACCTAAGCCTGTAAAGAAAAGACCTCAGTTGATGTGTTATTTCTTTGAATAATATATTGTCTTATTTTTCCCTTTTGAGCCAGTTGCAACAAGAATTTGTAGAAACAGCAGATTGAAAGTTTGAAGCATCTTCAATGCCATCTATGCCTTCAGTGCCGTGTTATACACTAGAATTTTTTTTCTTCTCCAGAAAAGGGATCTTGGATGAGTATAGCGAGATCACCAGTCTTGTGACAGAAGAGATCGTGAATGTCCATAGAGAGATCCAGACCTCGGTTGAACAGATAGACCCTAACTCTGAGTATAACGACTTCATAGATACTCACAGGTATAATTTTCATATCATGTTTCTTCCTGAGAAAACCCTGCATTAAACTTCAACTCTGCTTAAGTGATCGGAGTTGAATTTGCTTCTGTTTGGTTCCTTTTACATTGTTACTTGTAAAACTTTATCCTAATTTGAAAATTGTTCTATTCGCGCATATGGAAAGGTGGCTGAACCGTTTATATTCCTGGTTCTAGAAAAACAAATTTCCAGTTACATGAGAAGATCCCTAACTTTGGTACTGACAGCAGACTATAAATGACAGTCTAGACTCCACATGAGCTAATTTACTCATAATTGTTTATTTGGATGCATTTTGCATTCTGGGCTAAACTTGTTCTAGTATAAAGTCAGCTCTAGGTATCTCTGTGTACTCTGCAGTTGTTGCAGGTTGAGCCTGAGACCACAGAGCATGCAGATAATGCAAGGAGGTTTTTACTTTAAAACCAAAGTGTATTTCCCATTTATTGGACTATTACTCTGTATAAGTATATGCAGAAATATTCCTAAGACTTCTTGCATAATCTTTTTTTGTTGTTACGTGGGAATTGATGATTGTCATGTGTGGGTTTATGACAGAAGCAACTAAGAGTGGACCTGTTGACATTAGTAGCCCTTGAGAACCTCAATTGTGTTGTGATCTGGATTCAAATAATTTTGTTACATTTTATTATCTCATAAGATTTTAGGACAATTTCCTAACATTCAAGGAAAAAGGATATGTGTCCAGTTGCTAGCTATCCTTTTATTTTGTATGCAATTTTAACTATATTCTAGTTAGTAAAATATTTCAAAACTCAGCAATTTGCTTTATGATCTACTCAAAGACCCATGCTAATTTTGACAAGATAACAATTATTTTACTGAATTAGGTCATCAGAAGTTGCTGAACAAGAAATAGAGTTTGATACGTCATTACTAGAAGAAAATGAAAACCTTCAAGCTAATGAGATCATGTGGAATAATTTAACAGCAGAAAGTTTACAAGTCATGTAAGTCTTTCTTTACAAATCTTTATCCTCTGGAAATGCCGTTATGTGTTATATGTAGGCTCAGATCAATGCACAGCTGACCGTTTTTAAGGTCCAATTTCTAAAAACAGTATATTCAGGCTATGGACTCTTTCCCATGCCAGTTTTATTGTTCCTTTGCACAAAATACTTCTTCCCAGTTCCCCCTAAAAGCATTTTTAATGTATGTTCCTCTCCTTGCCAGATAATATATACAATGCCCCAAATCTAGCATGAGTCCTCCTTGGGAACGTACTGGTTCATTTTCCCGAAAGCTTTTCCACATTCACTACTCTGGGAAAAATACTGAAATATTTTGATGAAACCATTGAGTAGAGTGATGTAGTCAGTGATTGAAATTGCCATGTAGAAAATTTTCATTAATATATTTATTTCATTTGTTTTGTAAGTTTTGCTTTTGTTTTCCAAAGGAGATTCTTATTCATTTGTATAACCTTTAAAATACATTAGCATAGTAATGCAGATATAACCATTGTATTGCATTTCACAGAGCTTTTAGCTATTTGGGGTGATGAACTACCTCTCTATATGTTTTGTTAATATATTGCGTAGTTAAATATTTTCTTTACTTCTACCAACTTCACCTTTTAATCATTTGTTATGGGGAAAAAATCTCCTGCTGAGATGATTATGTTCTTATATTACCAGCCTCAACTTTTGACATAAAATGGTCCTATGTGGTCACTTGTGAGATTGCAACTATCAATCATGCACTAAAAATGGGAAGTTCTGAATTTCATTAGTTGATGATTTATTGTTACCTCTACTGTGTTTCAGTCCACGTTTAACTTGTTTGAAGTATTTTGTCCCTTTAGAAAGTGTAACTGATGCAAATAAGATAACAGTGATATATTGTGGGGTTTTTTATTTTTTCTTAATTTGATTACCTAATCAAACTATAATCCCTATTTCTTTGAGGTTTTTCTGAAATCCAGAATCAGATTGGATCTTAATAACAGTGAGGCATTTCAAATGTGAACATATTACTCTAATCACTGTGTTTTCTCAACATAACAGAAACTCTGTATTTTATTAATTCCTTTTCAAGGTTGTTAAACATTCTCTCTTTTTTCTGTGTAGTCTGATTATTTTTTTAATTTATTCCTTTGATAAGTATTGAAATAACTTTTTTAATATGGAGCATCTGCCTCCTTAGTCACGAAGCAGCTTCATCTTTCTTATGAAAGGATCTCTTGATAATTAAACCCCGCCCAGTCCCTTTAAATAGGTTTCTCTTTTTAATATATTCTGCATCATTACTAAATTGACATTATTCCTGCTTAAACTATGTAAATGTTGTACATCTCGATGTACTTCTGCACAGTGACAGGAAAAATATATGTACTCAATCTCCCTTTTCAATAAAATATTAAATTTTTTAAAAGATTCTGTCTTCCATAGCTCAAAAAGAGAAATAACACCTTGTTTGACTTGCCTTTTGCATCCCATTGTTTAGAAATAAGACATCAGCATATCTAAATAAAAGAGATAAAATGTTGCTTTTCTAATAAATGGTTCTGATGAAATGCATATTAGTGTTTATAAATGTATGTCTGTACATACATTTGCCTACATATATATATATGTTCATTTTCAATATAATTTCCAGTGTGTTCTGTTGCAAATCTTATATTTATCCACATGAAATTGTCCTGTGAATTTGAGAATTAAATAGCTCTTTTGAGTGTTCCTGTCTTTAAGGCATTCACTTTCTGGTATAGGTTTAGGACTCTGAGTTTAACTGTATTAGGTCAGACCAAAGATTTACCTAACCAAACTTCTTCTTCCTTATGTTAGGCAACAGGGAAAAGTCTTGAGAGGAGAACAGAAACAGAATGACCGTGCAATTCAATTTCCTCAGCATCTCATAATTTTCATCTCAGGAATATTTTGAGAAGCAGTATTTATCTTTAATGGCCACAGAGATAGTTTCTAATAGCCTTAGAGGTATTTTTCCTTTGTGAACTGTCCCAGTCAGTTTCAGTATATACAAGTACCTGTTGTCCATACAATTTCTGGTCCAGGTATTCCAGCTATTAAGTTCGTATTTTATGAACCTGCTACTTCTTAGTTTCATTTTATGGCTCTTAAGTGCTTTTTTCGGGAGAGAATAGGAACAGTCCATTCCTCTCTGTCTGTGATATTGTACATTTTTGTCCAACTTCTATGCTGTGCCCTCTTTTTCACAGCCATCCTTAGCTTTATTCTGTCCTTTCACAAAACTTACTCATACTTTATCAAGTTTGTCATCTTGATTTGCATATTTTCAAGGTTACTATATTGATTTTGAGATAAATGACCAGAATTGTGGAGGGAATCCAGATACACAGTTTAGAGGGAGGCATTCTGAAGTTCTCTGTATTCTTACTCTGTTTTGTTTTTAACAGATCCTAGAGAATCATTCTGTTTGATATTCTGACCCTAGCAGTGTATCAATAATCCTTTTATATTCTTCACATTCAGACCCTTCCTCCTACCTCAAATAACATTATAAGATCAGCATTCTTTTTTTGCTTTTTAACTGTCCTTTTATTTGAATTATCATGAACATATTAAGCAGTGCAGATTGTTTATGAAGCTCCACTGGCTCCTGGCACTGTAAAACCTGTTTATTCTTATCCTCTTTGTCCTTTTTCTTTTAAATGCAGGTGGGAACCCTTCCTGAAGTGCTTAGTTCTCAATAGCTGTCTTTACTTGTTAGCTGTGTTTTAAATATATGTTTTCATAGTCTTGCCTTAAAGCCACTGCAGCCAAAGTTTTGCATCAACTAACTGTGTATGACTAGAAGTTTGCAAGTAAGAGAAATGTATAGTTGATGACTTTTAAAAATCGACTCGGTACGTGATGAAGCAATAGAAATTTGACTGTTCTTCTTTCATATTGAGATCATGGCCTTGGATCTTCAAAATACTACCTCACTATGTTTCTGCAGATGAGAACTACCTTCAGTATCTACCAAATATAATAAGTGCACATAGTGGATTTATTTCACAAACATATAAAAGATTCAAAGATATATATTGATTTGTAATCAGTAATATTTGGTTGCATCTCTTGGTTTATTGGGTGTGTAATGGAAAAATGACAGCTTTGCATACTGCTTAGAGGTTTTAATACAACATATTTTAAGGAAACATGATGAGAAAACTAGCTTTTACATTTTTAGGTAAGGTTACTTTTATGAATAAAATTTTGACAGAAGGAGGTAGTTGAAAGACCAGCTAACCTTTCTAAGGAATGGGAGAATTATAGTGTCTCCTGATAAATATTCATGGCTGTCACTGAATAATATTGAGAAATACCGCAAAGTGTAACAGAATAAAAGTTTACACTTTGAAGATGCATGCATTAAAAACTGAGAGGAGGCAACCAGAATGAAGTAAATGTCAATCAGTAAGCATATTAATATCCAAATTAGTTGAAAAATCTTTTGAAATACAAGTTCTGTAAGCTCAAACATTTATTTTTATAGATATTTGAGGCAGAATGGTGCTAATAACTAGAGAAATATGAAAGGAGGGTTTCCCGGTAGAGGGATTGTATGGTTGTTAAAACTCAAAAGGTTTATAGTGATTAACTGGTTAGTAATAGAAACCCTTTTGTAAACTGATTGTATCCAGAAGGCAAATACAAGGCCACAAGAAAATTCCTTTGGCAAACCACAAACAAAATGATACAAGACAGATGCAGTGTTGTCCGTTCTAGCCAGTTTGAATGAAAGTTATTGTTTAAACTAAACAATAGATGTTGAATACAAGGAGGCAATTTAGTTTAGTGTTTATATGGTTGCTTTGTTTTGTTTTCTGTAAGATAAATACAAATGTCCTAAAATATCTCAGAAGTTTCAGTAAAAATTACATCAACTTTCTGTTTCAATCTGATACTCCAATATAAAATCTGATATTTTTGAAATTGTGAAAATTTAAGATGTTGTTTCTGAATGTATGTACTCATACCTTCCAGTGATGAACAGTCTTATTAATTTGGTTTTAATTTCTTGACTATTGGTGCTTGATCATGAGATATAACATCTGCTTCCCATAAATCAATTTTTAGGCCAAGGCAATGTTGATTATATTTTGATTCGAAAGCTGATTAAAAAGCAGTTACAGAATTGGTAATTACTTTTTTTAGCAAGGTATCAAAATCAAAAAGTTAGTTGGTATTAAGGTGGAGACCCAATGTAAGAAGACAGTAATTTCGGAGAAGTTCAGCATACGAATTTTGGTAGCTTGAAACCAATAATGTCTCTGAAAAGGGGAGCTTTGAGGATGTTACTTTGAGGGATATGCTTTAAGTATTTATCTTATCTCAAAATAAACACATATAGAAGCTTGGTCATTTGGGAAATAAACTTTTTCTGTTCACTCTATGGCTTTTTTTAGTTATTTAAGTCTTCCAAGATAAGATATGGGACTGTCTGAGTACAGACCATATGCAATCAAGATTGTATAAAATATATAGTGAGGAGAGAACTAATTCAATGTTTAGAATCAAATAGTTGAGTTTGGTGTATATGAACATGAGGGAGATGTGCCTCCTAGATATTTAGAGTTGACCTCCTGTTCTACTCCCCAACCTGGAGTGGTTTTGGACCGTAGATACGTGCAGTGGAATTACTATATGTATTTTGCTTTTGTTCCACTCTTTACTTCATTAATTCTATTGAAGTTGGGCTTGAAAATACAGGAGAAGCAGAGTAAGATAGTTAAAGAGGGATAGATGAATGCTGAGAAGGAAACAAGGTGTACATATTTATTTGTTTTTAAAAAATTGTTCTGACAACAATTTCTTGAAGTCAACATATAAATATTGATATGCATTTTAGAAGTCATCATTATGTTAACTATTTACCTGCATTGTTCTGAATGCAAATGTTTCTCTACATTCATTGAATTTTTTTGTTATTGAAATATTACCAGCATGATTACTAAGTGTCGGTGATGGTTTTAAAATGTAATAATCCCTTCTCTGTTAGGATGGAGTGTTCATGTACAGTTTTGTCTTTCCTTTGAATTAACCATTACCAGAGATTGTAACCTCAAAAGGATAATTGTGGAGAAAAATATAATCACTCTTAAACCAGGAAGTGTTAATTTGTATTATTTTTTATTTCTAGAGGTAAATACAGCTCAAGTACTGATTCTGTGTATTTATTTAACATGTACTTCAGAAGTTGGAAGGCTTTCGTCTTTCATAAAGCATCTTGTAAATTAGCAATATATTAGGAAGGCATTAATTCACAGAACCCATCATCACACATTCTGGAAAAAAGATTTCTTGGTAGGAGAATTTGCAGGCAGCAGATCATTATGTAACCTTGTACGTATACAGAGGAACTGTAATAATATGTATTAACAATATAAAGGTATATCTATGAAAAAACCTCAAAACTGTCAAGCACCGAGTAAGATAATCTAAAAAATAATGCTCCTTTACATCTTCAGGAAAAAAAAAATACAATGTTCCCAAATGTATACAGTTTGTGGATTCACAGCATGGGTTTTTGACTTCTATCTTGCAGGTTAAAAACAGTAATAGAAGAACTGATGCAAACACAGCAAACCCTTTTGAGCAAAGAGGAACTTGTCTTGGAACTAGAGAAAAAAATAGAGGAGTCCTCTAAAACTTGTGAAAAGAAGTCTGAGTAAGTTGAAATGAACTTTGAAATATAATAATTTGAGGGGAAAAATGGCTATAATGACATTCTAAGACTTAAATAAGAAATAACCACCACTAGTCTTGTTCTGTTTTTGTGAATAGCAATTACTGTGAGAAACAATAGTAAGTTAATTTCTCATCTCTAAAGTAACCCTTACCTACTCCAGACCCTAAATCATTGAAGAATTGAGCAGCTCCATGAGTTAATATATAATTGTCATGGTTTTGGGATGGCTCAAGAGCTGGACCTTTGGTTACTATTGTAACTTCTACTTGACAGAGGAAGTTGACTACGTTCACATTGCCTCTGTGTTTGACAAAATTCCTTGTGTAGTTGTAATTTTGTGAGAGACGTTCAGAATCATGTGCAAGACACTTTCTTATGCAGTAATGTGTTTGGGACTTTTCAGGTTAAGTTCATTCTTCATTGCATTTTCTTTTTACAAAACTGTAAATGTAAAGAATGTAGTATGATACCCTGTAGTACTGCATAACAAATAGCAAACATGAGGGATTAGTGAATGTTTTATGGCACCACAAATAAAACATTATTATAAAGAACCATTCTTGGGCAACATCTTTAGCTTTTTTTCTTATCTCTGATTAGAAAAAGTATTCACATCCTCATTTAAACTGAACTTAATACAACAGATAAAGAAATTTTGTCTGTAATGATATTTTTCTGATTCTTGTTGCAATCAGTCATAACCTTACTAACTTGCTTATGAATATTAGCTTACAGTACCAGTAGTGAATTGGAGTGCAAGTCCTTTGGGTAACCCTTCATTCACTGGAGGTCTTAAGCTGTGCCAGGGAAGGTTTAGGTTGGATATCAGGAAGAAATTTTTTACAGAGAGAGTAATCAGGCATTGGAATGGGCTGCCCAGGGAAGTGGTGGATTCTCTGTCCCTGGAGGTTTTTAAGATGAGACTGAATGTGGCACTTAGTGCCATGGTCTAGTAACCACAGCGGTAGTGGATCAAGGGTTGGACTTGATGATCTCGGAGGTCCCTTCTAACCCGCTTGCTTCTATGATTCTATGATTCTATGCAGTCTTGAAGCTTTTTGTGGAAGGAATCTTGTCACACAATACATTGTATAGTATTTAATTAATATCTAAAATTTTATGTATATGATATGAGGGTTTTAATTAGATACTTTAGTGTTCTTTCTTCGGTGAAGTTCACATGTAATCACAGTGTATTTTCCAGTTTTTGGTTCTTGACCTACCTTCTTTGCTGCACATTACTTAAAGGGTAAACTGTATTTGAACTCATCAAGTTTGCTGGGGTATTTGGCTTTTTCCCCTCAGTATTGTTTTGTTATCAGTTATCACTCTCTGAAAATAGTTCAGACCATCCCTGTATTTCTTGCTGTGGGCAGGCTTCTCTGACTGATCCTTTAGCAGATGTTTGCAGTGTTGAGGAGATGATTTTGGTTCAAATTGCACCAGTAACTCTATGTCTTATTAAAAGGCATGAAATCTTTCCTTAGATGCCTAGTTGTAAGGTCACAGTTTCCCTGAAATCATCCTTGTTGTGACTTGTCATTGATCATGTCTTCCTCCGGAAGAACCCATTTTCACCTTTTAAGTGCAGTACAGAGCTATCGGGATGTTTTTACATGAATTTACTGTCCCCAGAAGATCTCATCCAACTGTTGCATTGGGTTTCATTATGACTGTTGTCATACTATATGGCACTGTCTTGGTACTGTTATCCTGGCACTAATATCCCTTCAACACAGAGAATGTTTTAATTATATTTTATTTATATATGTATATGTCTAGAATATCATCTGCCCTCCAGACAAGATGGCATGTTGAAAATTTGGTTTTTTATTCAGTTTATCTTTTTAACACTTCAGATGTGTCGCCCTGACTTGCAGGGCTTCTTCACACAAGATCTCACTCTGTGAGGTTGCTAGTAGCTTTTTGCTAGCAACAAGGACTATAAAGTTTGCGCTCATGCAAGCCATGGACAAATAGTTTTATAGATTCCAATTCCTCATGCATATCTGGAGTATGGAGCATTCAGAGCTGGATTTGGGAAAACTAATTAGATTGTAATTCATCTTGCCACCATTCAGGAAAGAGACTAGTTTGTGACTTTTCTCTTGTTACCCCTGCATCATGATACGTTGAAACCATTTTGTGTTTGAGGATGTCAGTTTACACAATGTGTGTTCACCAAGGCCTTGCTGATGATGGAAGACAATTATTTTCACAGGGTGATGTCCTTTTTCTCTCATAATGAGGCCCAGATGAAAGAACATTATCTTGAGGATAATGTCAAGATAATTGTTCATTTTCTTGTGTGATGCTCTTAAATGTATGTGGTCTCATGCCAAGTCTCAGTTTCAGATCCTGTAATCATGTCTTCATACATCACACTTATCCTTTTTGCATGAATGATCGTTCTGCTGATAGTGTGGAGTTTGGTTCATTAGTGACTTAGTATAATGCTCATCTATAGGAATATTATTTTTGTCTTTTCCTACCAATGAGAATTTTATGACAGGTTGTTCCCTTATCACTTGGAAACCTATTTGAATAGGCATTTGGCTCAGCACCACTCGTGGTCTAGTGGTTAGGATGCAGCACTCTCACCGCTGCGACCTGGGTTCGATTCCCGGTCAGGGAAACTCCCCCGGGCAGATGGAGCTCGTCAGCCCTGTGAGGCCATCCATCTAAGAGAAGGTCACTCTAAACAAACCTACGTCCTGAGGACCTCACTGCCACTGTCCAAGCTCGCTCGGCCCCGGCAGATGAACCTTAGGATTAAAGGGTGGGCTCAGCTGAGCGCACACTGGGTCTCACCTAAAAAATCCACTGCACAGGCTCGAAGGGTAAAGACCTTTCCCAAATCTTCGTTCGCGAAGACTGACCATACAAATACTTTGGGAAAGAAAAATTTCAATATGAATGACTTTTACCTTTCTTTTTTTCTTCAAGGGTAGGCTTGCAAGAGGGTCTTGCCTTCCAGGGGTTATCCTGAAGATACAGAGTGAAAGGAAACTGTGATTTTTCTTCATATTGTCCTCATTCTACATAGTTCTGGTCCCTTTACGTCGTCAGTCTGTTCTTGTAGACTGTGAGAACTCTGCATCTGTTACAGACCACATGTCACTGGGTTCCAGTTGAATGCTTTTAAGGGTGTCTGTATTATACCATGGATGATTCTGTCTTTTAGGCAGTTTCTGTCAATCTTTGTTTTTGACAGTTCTTTGGGATAATAGAGTCACCTAGGTAGCTGCAGATGTTCTAAGTGCTTGTCCTTCGGTAATGATTTAATATGTTTCTCTCGAGGATTCAGGGCTATGAGGGGTATTCAGAGGAGATCCGTAAAAACAAGGAGAAGACAAAAAGCTGTCTTCTTATAGAGATCAAATTATTTAGCTTCATTAGAAGATGGTTATAATGCAGTCCAGAAACACTTACAAAGTAGAAAAAACAACAGATATCTCTAACTTGATACCAGATGAATTTATACTGGATGTGAGGTGAGTTTAGTAGTGCAAATTATCATTACAACAACTATCTAGACTGCAGTGAATTTCTCATTGCTGGAAATCATTATCTAAAATTTTATTCTCTAAAGGACAGAGAACCCTAGTGTTTGTAAATTCAATCAAAAGTGAATGAAAACAGTAGTTTCATGTATATTTATTACAGTGTGATTTTTGTGATAATGAAAAGAGAATGGGTGTTTGCTTGCATTGTGTCGTAGCTTTGAAAGTTTTCTAGAATTGCTCTGTGTTTATACCTTCGAATAAAAAATTATGTTGAAGAATTGCCATGCTTCTTTCCCCCAGCTTTTATGAAACAAAATATGTGTCTGTCATAGGTTTACTTCTTCTGAAAAAAAACATGGGGGAATTTTTTTCTTTCCCCTGCATTGCTGTAAAAGAAAGATGTTGAAGGAGGGAGGAGGGAGGTGTTTGCCTAGGGTGATTGATCCACAGAAAAGAACTAACCAGCAGATCCGCATTCCAAGCTGATGGCCCTCTGAAGACTGTGGGGAGGGGTGATGAGGTTTTTTTTTTTCTCTCCTTGGAAACTGGAGGCACTTCACTTTTGCCTTAACTCAGGCAAAGGTGTGTGTTGGAGGGGTCCGAGGTTCTCTTTGTTTTTTGGCGTGGTCATCTGGCTGTTTTCTGGCCCTGGCTTGCCTCCGTTTTCCTGCGCCCTGTTCTACCTCCAGCCCGGATCTTCTCGAATTTCATTGGAGAGGCTTAACCTATCTGCAGAGGAACCTTTTTTTGGAGGAGGTGGTCCTTTCCCTCTTCCACTCCCGTGTTTGGCAGCGGCTTGTGCCCATTGACAAAGGGGGGGAAATCCCGACCGCAGCCAACCGTGGACAACATGGGTTTCATGGGAAGAGCCCCCTTTTTCCTCCCTTTCCCCTTCCCTTTCTTGGTGTGGGGGGGAAATCTTAATTTTTGGCTTCTCCCGCGCACTGGGGCCCCCATGCAGTGACCGGCAGAGCCCAACAGCACCCCCTGCTGACTACGACAGAGCAACAGCAGGCTGTGCTCCTCTAGTGATCCAACAGCCCCCCTGCTGATTGTGGTTAGAATTGCACCAAATGGCAGAAAGTAGCGAACTGTTTCCTTTTTGAAGGGGATTTTTGGGTACAGGATTATTGTTTGGTTGTTGTTTTGTTCTTTTGTTTTCTGTTAATACACCTATATCCTTTAATAAAGGGCTGTTATTTTTTCTTTCTCCATACTTCCTCAATTGGAGCCTTGTAATTTCGGATTTAGAATTGTTTAGAGGGGGGAGTTTGGTCTTTCTCATAACTCCTCCTTAGCAAAACACTTCAATCTCATTAAACTCAGATGGTATCTTAAATCATGTATATTTTTAAATTGTTATTTTTCTTTACAGCATTGTACTCTTGCTGAGCCAAAAGCAAGCACTTGAAGAACTTAAACAAACAGTTCAGCAATTAAGGTGCTCTGAGGCAAAATTTGCAGCCCAGAAAGAACTACTGGAACAAAAGGTTCAAGAGAATGATGGGAAAGAGCCGCCACCTGTAGTGAATTATGAAGAAGATGCAAGATCAGTGACTTCTATGGTAAGTTTTACATCTGTTTTACTGAACTGTGTAGCTTTGCCGTCCTGGGATCAGATTATCCAGATACTCACTGGGGTGACTAAAGTGAATGAACTTCACTTTGCATTTGTGGAAACTTGTTTGGACAAACAGTTCAGTTGTGTGGGTTTTCTTATTTTTTTAAGTTGCAATAACTTGTAACAATCTATGTCTGTGGTCTTGGATTGGTCTTCTGTATACTTGATGCTTAGATTCTCACTAGGCTATTTTATTATCAAAAGTGTTAACCCTTAAATAGATTTAGTAAATGTGACTGAGCAGCTATTGGTAGTTTCCTTGGGTGTGTTGAAGAAATATATTCACAGTTGTAGATATAAAATGAACAGTAAAAGCTCACTGCAGAATCACTGCACACGTTATGTAATAGAGAAATTAATTTTATGTACTGTAGTTACTCTTTGCCTGGACAGAAATGAACACTGGTTTCTTTGCAACTTATTTTCAAATGTTTACATGCTCCCAATAATCAGAAGGAACTTTTTGTGCTCTGAGGAGACCCCATATAATTTAAAGAAATACCTTACTTTGCTTATATTTTATGTGAATTTTTTTTCTCAATTGTATGCACCAATGGGCAGAATTAGTAAGCTGCATAAAAACCCAAACATATACTACCTGTTTACTGAAGGGACAAACAATAGTGTTTGCCTTTGTAGATTAGGTTTGACATGTATGAGATACTTGTGACTTCTCTGAGGTTTAGCCTGACATTCCTTTTGGTGCACAGGGCAATGGGTCTGTGAAATGATAATGAAATGGTTGTTTTTGAGAGGGATGTTTTTTTCCTCTGTCAATTTGATTCACATTCTACAGTTATCCTTAATTGTCAGCATTCTCTTGCTTCCACTGCTGTTGAATATTTACAAGGTGCTATGGGATGGTTGTTGTTTACGCTGGTACAAAACATTATATTTCAAAGCTTGTATGCTTGTCATGACATAGAAGGAGTTGACAAAATGAAAAAAGATGATGAAGGAGAAAAGAAGAATCAGAATAATGGTTACAAAAGATTAGGAGACTTGGAATCTTTTTTGGGTAGGCTATTTTGTTAATAATATTTAATATATTATCCTGTAGTAGTGCTAGTGAATATTATCTGTATAGGTTAGTTGAGGTGATGAGTCTAATCATGAAAATGGTACTCTTCTGCTTCAGTTCAAGATTGCTAAAGTCTGCTTTCTGGTGTCCAAATCTCTGTTTAAATGGGTGGGAGAAAATAACCCATGTGGTGAATACAGGCCTGCACATGGCCAGCAGCACAAAGGCATGGAAACTTCATCACTGGTAGCAGCACAGTGAGCTGCCAGAACCAAGGGCTCCTCACCTGTTCGTCAACTCTGTTTTAGTCCCCTGTTCTGTACCATGGCCATCTGTGTCTGCTGTTACACTGCTAATTCATATAGTATATCTTTTTCTTTTAGTTTTCTTTTTTCCCTTTCCGGGCTAGGCTACTGCAGAATTACTAGAGATTACCTTTTATTTGGAATTAGGAATTTCTAGAGTACTTGTTGTCATTTCCTTTTTTGTTTTCTTTTTTCCCCAAAAAAATTGGTTTGTATGGTAAAGAAGTTATTTGAAACTTCTCAAAAGCTGGTTGCAGCTGCCAACATGGCACCTGCAGTGCCCTTAGCTCAAGGCTGATGTCACAGAGTGGCTGGTTCTGTGTCCAGGGCAGTGGGGCCTCTGGTGGAGGGCAGGGGAACCTGATAGTGGAGTCATAGAACCATAGAATAGTTTGGCTTGGAAGGGACCTTAAAGTTTGTCTATTTCCAGCCCCCCTGCCATGGGCAGCGACACCTTCCACTAAAGCAGGATGCTCAAAATCCCATCCAGCCTGGCCTTTCCCAGAAGAAATGGTCATGGTTCACTGCAGCCTGCACTGAATCCTGTACATCCTACTGCTTACACTGTTTTTTCCCTTTAGGACTTGCAGGAGCTCTTGCACTCCTGTACCAGCTTTTAGAGTGGAAGTAGGCAGGAGCTTAACCTACCTGATCATGTTGGTATTGGCCTTGCCTTCTAGGGGGTATTGAGTTGGTCATAAAATGACTCCATGCCTGTGATGTTGGAGAAGCACCCTTACATCTGGGTGCTGGATCATCCCAGTAGAAGTGCTGAGAGGAGGTGTAGACTGGGGTGTTCTGCCCTTGTACAACCTTCTTCCCAACTGGTCCCTCCAATAAGCCAGAAGTAGTCACACTCTTGTCTCTGCACACGAGGAGACCATTTCTGTTACCCTACAGCACAGGAGGGAGTATTAAGGTGGTGTTTGGTGACCACTGTCAGTACCAGGGCTGTCTCCTCTCTCACAGCTCCTGCCAAATGTTGTATTCCCAGCAGAGCAAGACTGCTCAGGTGCTGAAACATCTCTTCTTTCAGTTTACTAGTGTTCTCCCTTGTCATATCACTACCTACTACTTCCAAAAATCACTCTCCATTGCTTTTAGAATCTCCTTTTAAGTGCTGAAGGGCTGCAGTGAAATCTTCCTGAAGCCTTCTCTTTTCTAGGCTGAACAACTCCAGCTCTCACAGCCTGTTGTCGTAGGAGAGGTGCTCAAGCCCTGTGATCAACTTAGTGGCTCTCCTCTAGACTTGTTGCAGCAGGTCCATGCCTTTCTTCTGTTGAGGATCTCAGGCCTGGGCACAATACTCCAGGTGGGGTCTCACGAGGGCAGAGTAGAGGGGGAGAATCACCTCCCTCGGTCTGCTGCCCACACTGCTTTGGATGTAGCCCAGGATATGATTGTGCCTTTGGGCTGCAAGCCCATGCTGTTGGCTCACATTCAACTTTTTGTCTACAGCGCCCACAAATCCTTCTCAGCAGAGCTGCTCTCAGTGTGTTTTTCTCCCAGTCTTTACTCCAATCTAGGATTGTGCTGACCCAGCTGCAGCACCCCACGCTTGGACTTGCTGAACTTCATGTCGTTCTCATGTGCCCACTTCTCAAGCTTGTCTGGGTCCCCCTGGATGGCATCCTGTTCTTCTGTTGTGTCACCTCTGCCCCTCAGCTTTGTGTAATCTGCAGACTTGCTGAGGGCACATTGGATCTCACTGTGTCATTGATGAAGATATTAAAGAGCATCGGTCCCAAGACAGAGCTCTGAGGGGACACCACTCAGCACCAGCCCCACCTGGACATAGAGCCATTGACCAGAGCTCTCTGGCTGTGTCCATTCAACCAATTCCCTATTCCATTTGAAGAGTGGCCCACCCTTCAGATCCACATCTCTCCAACTTGGAGATAAGGATGTCACGTGGGATCATGCTGGAGGCCTTACAAAAGTCTGGGTAGATGACATGAGTTGGGACTCCCTCTTGCCTTGTTTGCTGCCGCAGTCAGTCCATCATGGGAGGCTGCCAGATTCACCAGGCATGATTTGCCCTTAGTATGAGTGAAGTGTAGGAATATGACTGACTTAAATGCTGGGTGATTCCCCTTGAGTAAGTTTTCTTTAACTGTTAAGCTGATATGTGTGAGTAAAAGTGACTAAAAAGAAAGAGATACGACTGCAGTGTAAATTAAACTTTTTTTTCAAGTTGCTATGCCTTGAGAGGGCAGTCTTGACTGTATCTCAAGATGAAAACGTAATACACTGATGGGCTGTTTGTATAAATAAATATCCTGGTGATTTTTATTATGGGAATTTTTTTTTATTTTTACTGAAACTCTTTAAAATTACAGAGCTGCTAAATGCTTGGAAATGAAATATTCTTGCTGCTAATAGCTCATCCTCGTGTCATTCCAGAGAATCATTGTCTCTTCAGCTATAAATTTGTTTAGGTTTCTCCTCTTTATGTGTAATTCATCTAAATGTTACTCTGATACTATACTTGATTGTGGTTATTTATTCCTCTTTAGAAATTAATTGTAAATACTTTCTTAAGAATTACAAAGTCATAATTGACTTGTGTTGTCGTCATCCATATGAAGTAAATTTGCATGTCTTCAGTCACAAGTGAGGTTTTTTTGTAATTTAAAATTAAAAATAGGATATGCAAAACGATTTTGTAAAATTTCATATTTCTAAGTATTTATATGGTATCATATAAATACAGCCAATTTCATGGTGTAATAATTCTCAAATTGTTTTGTTTTCCATATCTTACATTACATAGGTGTATAATAGAATGTCAGTCATGGCTGGGCTTTGCGAACGAAGATTTGGGAAGGCTCTATCCACATTTGTTGCAAGCACGCTGGTGGCTTGTGAGGCCAATACGAGACAGACATATCTGATTGCAAAAGGCACAGCAGAAAGACTCCTTAGGTGGTATATTCTGCAAGACACGGTTCTTTCTGCGTTGTCTTTTCTCCTCGAGAGTGATTCTGCGTGTGTTCTCAAAGGAAACAGCAGCGTTGTAGATGGTGTGTCTCCAGGCCTCCCGATTTGAGGCCAGAGTAGACCAGTTATGGTGATCAATATGGCCAAGGCTGAGATGTTGTTTCAGGGAGTCCTTGTATCTTTTCTTCGGGGCTCCTCTCTTGCGGCAGCCAGTGGCAAGTTCACCATAAAGCAAGATCTTAGGGAGGCAGTGGTCCTTCATCCTGGAGACGTACCCTGCCCAACGCAGCTGTGTTCTCAGTAACATGGCCTCAATACTTGTGACTGCTGCTTGTTCTAGAACAGATGTATTGGTCACATAATCTGACCAGTGGATGTTTAGGATTGTACGGAGGCAGCGTTGATGGAAGCGTTCTAGGAGTCGCAGGTGGTGGCGGTAGATGACCCATGATTCGGACCCATATAAGAGAGTAGACAGCACTATGGCTCTGTAAACACTGATCTTGGTACTTTTCTTCAAGTGTTTATTTCGCCAAACTCTTTTATGGAGTTTTTCAAAAGCACTATATGCCTTTGCTAACCTGTTGTCTATCTCTCTGTCAATCTTACCATCCGAGGAGATGAGACTACCTAGGTAATTAAACTGCTGGACTGATTTGAACTCTGATTGGCCAATGG